GAATGGCTGAAGTAATTTCACTTATTCTTTTAAGAAACACAATTTCACCTATTTATAATGTCAATTTGGTGTGCACACCAAATTTTCCTGGGCTGCCTTCTGATGGGCTGTAGTCTACTCTGTAGACCTGGTCCTAAACTTTTCTCAAAATTTCTGGGTGTGCCTGGGCTCACCTGGCCCACCCTCTAGAACTGCCCATGTGTCAGTCAATGCTACCAATAACATATATTTTATTATCTCTCTCATGGGCCATCGTAATGCTATTCCAAGCTCCCGCTGACGCTTTGGCTGTGATATCTGTATAATTTTCCCAGGCAGCGACAGGCGGAGAAGATGCTTATTTTATTGAAGACAATGGTTGGTTTGGTGTGGCAGATGGAGTTGGTCAGTGGTCATTTGAAGGTTAGTAGGTTGATTTTCTTTGGTTTTGATTCTGTAGTTTAACCTTATGTATCATGCCTGACCTTCTAGACACCAAATTCCCCCATTCAGTTGGTGATGCTAGTCTTAAATCTTAATGTTAGATTGCTTTACAAAGGCAGTTTGTTACCCCCTTTGTCCAGAAATATCAGGCACTCTTGACCTTGTACAGTCTCCATTGCATAATTTTGACTATAATTTCAATTGTAAATTCCCTAAAATTAGTAACAAGGTATATAACATAAAATTTTTGCAACAAAAATACAGTAGTAATAGTATTCTTGAATGCTCAATCCATATAATTCTGCACCTTATATTTCTGGACAAAGGGAGTATAAGATAACTGGTCATAAGTCTTAACTCACTGTTGGTGGTCGTCCGTTAACTTTAGCAACATTCCTCTCTAAGCCCTGAAAAGTGGGAGCATACAAACGTATGTACAACAGCAAGCGATCCCCGCCAGAACCTCATGCCTCCTGCCGGATGCCATCTCCCCTCACCCCTCACCCAATCCCTTCACTCATTTTCATGTCAACAAGCTTCTGTCTTTAGATTTTAACTTCTAATGGTTCATGTCAGCAGGCAAATTTGTGGTCTAATTTTTTTGGACATATTACTTCAGTTAACCATGCTCCATCTCTTTTTTTCTGGTACCGTAGCACGGGTACCTTGCTTAGCCAGTAGAAAGACGACTATCGATATGTGGGGGAAAAGTTATTGACTGATCGTTACTTCTACCTTCTGTGGATGTTCAGCAGAAGTAACTAACATATACCAATACTAGTAAATGGCACGTGCCATGCACGTGTAGATGTAGTTATTACTACACATACATGTGGGTAATTTTAAGTAGTATCATATTTTCCCCTCAAAAAAAAAGTAGTATCATATTTCACAAAAAAAGTTAAATAGTATCATGATTTGACTAAATAATTATTAATTATAAAATTTTGCATGATTTAATAAATATATCCGTGAAATACCGAATTTACACAATATAGAATACCATGAGAAAAAGTATACCTGGTTCGTCCTCAAATGTTTGTCTTGATAAAGTTTAAGTTTAACTTCAGTTCAGAACTGTGATACTTATTAAGGATCGGAGGAAATATTAGATTAAGCAACAGAGAGAATGGGTTTGCAAGTTATTTATCGTTAGAAATAAAATAGTAATTTAAACATTAATTGTGTCTGTTTACAAATCAGAGTTTTCACATAATTGTTGATAAAAACTAAGAAAACAAGGGTAATAAATATTTGTAAAATAAATAAATTTATAAGAGAAAGTAAAAGCTATTTAGCTGTACATATATTACATTTTCACTTTGTTCGTCACTGTTTAATTTGTTTCAGCTTGTGCGCCTTTACCCAGGCTACACCATCACATGCTTTCTCTCTCTCATCATGATGCGTACTTGCTAGTTGCTACTGCTAGTACTCCTCGCGCCACTCTACTCTACTCCTGCATGCATCACCGGAGTTTGCTGGAAATTTCTGGATAGTGTCTTGGCTATAAAGAACGCAAGGAGAATCACATGCATGCACACCCTAGAGAGTACTACTACATCTGAGAGTGGCAGACTGGCAGCACGGGGAAATGGCGCAGCGAATCCCTACAATGTAGGCCATCAGATTAACATACCCAACGGTTTATATGCAGCCACGTATACCAGTAACACAAGCCATTAAATTTGAGCCGTCCGATTAGGAAGATCCAACGGTTCATATGACTTGCTACTCGTACACTATATAGGAGTATAGATAAGATAGGGATGCTGTTTTGTAGTAAGAAACACCTTTTGCATAATTCAGGTTTAAAACATAAATCTTCTTTTTCTGGACCCTGGAAGCTTAATAAGAGTTGAAGTTCTCTCGAAATATTGCTGCAAGCAGGTACTTATGACAATTTAGTGAGAAATCAAGAACCCATTTAGCCTGGTTTGCATCCGATGCTATAAGAAGGTACATAGATCAAGTACCACCAGTGCCGGGATGATGACAAGAACTAAGTTCTAAGGGTTAGACAATGACCATTGAGCTGCAAAATGACAATTCAATTCCTTGGAAAAGCAAAGCATGACATGTGCACCAACTATAGACTTAAGAGATGTGTCAAGCCTTGAGTGCTCTTACCTCTTATTATTTTGTTTGTGTAATAATTAGTTCATAAGATGTGATGGATTACAATTCCATATGTTTATTTGCAAGAGAAAAATATTTAGTATGTTTATACCTCAGAAATATGTGGATAAATATGTAGATTGACAAGTTTTTTTTTTGCGGGGGATGTAGATTGACAAGTTGAAACAGAAAAAGTAGAAAACTGCAGGATCCGAGAGATGAGTATTGATTTAAGATGTGCACTACCGAACACATTATACTTGTACCTACTCCCAGCCAAAGGTTTACATCAGTTTAATTTGGCTCTGGGTACAAGAAGTAGGATCATCACTCTTTAGGGGATTATAATGTCCTAGTTCCTAAATGCCAGCCTTTGTTCACAGCCTCTATCATGAGACGTGCAGACAATTTTCTTCTTGAGATGTGTGTTCCAGACTTCAAGTTAGGGCGCATTATTGTCAATATAGGTTTGTACTGTTGGCAACATTAAGAACTGCATCATAGATCTCAGGATAACTATAAACATCATGACTTTAGCTCATTTTTTTTACCTGACGTCTAGCAAATGTGTATTTGGAATGCAGTGCACATAGTTATTCGTAATTTCATAGGCATGCCACAGTGCTAATTTTGTTGTTGTAATATTTGTACTTAGGAATCAACGCAGGGCTTTATGCAAGAGAGCTTATGGATGGCTGTAAAAAGGTAATTGCGGAAAGTGAAGGAGGCTCTGAGCTTGCGCCTGAGCAAGTTCTCTCCAAGGCTGCAGCAGAAGCAAGCTCTCCTGGTTCTTCGACTGTCTTAGTTGCTCACTTTGATGGCCAGGTCTGTTCTTTTATCAAGACCGCCGCAGTTCTTATTTCTCCTTGTGTCATACTTATTGGACCTATCATTTTTACAGCTTCTTCATGTATCAAATATTGGAGACTCGGGGTTTCTGGTGATAAGGAATGGAGAAGTATGCGCAAAATCAAAACCAATGGTTTATGGCTTCAATTTTCCACATCAAATCGAGAAAGGGGTTGATCCCTTAACCCTTGTAGAGGTGATCTTTTTTTTTTTGGTACCAAGTCTAGACTCGCACCATATAAATAATTGAAAATCAACACTCTTGTTTCCACTGAGTTTTTCAGAATTATACCATTGACATAGAGGAAGGCGATATCATTATAGCAGCGACCGATGGCCTCTTCGACAACGTCTACGAACAAGAAATGGCAGCCATGATCTCGAAATCTTTGCAGGCAGATCTAAAGCCAGCGGTAGATTCATCAACTTGCTTTCTAAATAAAAAGAAAATACCCTGAATCTCGGTCTCAAGATTAAATGATGGCGCGCCTGACTATTCTACTTGCAGGAGATGGCCGAGCACCTTGCTGCCAGGGCACATGAGGTGGGGAGGTCTGGAGCAGGGAGAAGCCCATTTTCAGACTCTGCCGTCGCGGCGGGTTACCTAGGTTTCAGCGGGGGGAAACTGGACGACACAGCCATCGTTGTGTCGATTGTCCGGAGATCCGAAGCTTGAGCTATAGAAGGCCCCCGAGGTGACAAGCTATTTTGGTTGCAGGCAGCTGCACGCACTGTCTATGAAAGCGTTGCATCAGTAGTTCAGAAACTGCGACACGTGCAAAGTTCGCCTGTGTAAAGCAGTCTAGTTCAAGAACCACAATTCGCCTATCTAAGTAAGTGATATAAATTTAAGTTTGGTGTTGGTGCTGTGTGTAAATTTTGGGCTGTAGAAATATGATGCATGAAAATGTAATTTTGTGCTCTTGAATCGTGAGGAAGTGGTAGGAAGGAACCAAGCCATCTAGTCAAAGTTGAAATATAATCATGCATTTAAACTGTAACATTCATGAGCAACACATGATCGGAAATTCCTGGCGTCAAGTTGTTACTGGTACATCTCCACACTGTCAATTGTATCCTTTTATTAGCGATGATACACCTTTTCCACGTTGAATTCCAGAAAGAAAGAAAAAACTCTCTCCATCAAAATATACAAGGTCTCTTCGAATTTTGAGGCTAATTGTTAGCCTTAATTTGACTAACAAAGTATAAACTAGTATGAAACAACATTTATACCATCAAATTCATATTTGAAAGAGGTTTTCAGTGGAACAACCTTTGTGGCATATACCTCACCATTTATTAGTTAAATTTATTTTCAAAATTAGAATCAAATATCGTACTCAAAGAAAAAAGCAAATGGAAGTTTTTCGACAAGTATTACACTCCTTCCTCAAAATTAAACTCATTGGCCTCCTACGAAAACATATATAGACCAGAGTGCCCATAGCACGATATGGTAATCGGAAGGGCAAAAATGACAAATGATACAAGGAATTCTGGCTCAACACGAGCCAATATATATGTATTTCACAGGGAAGACCTGAAGTTAGGTACATTGCGTTACCACCACAGACAGTAATACATCAGATCTTACACTCTAGTTATGATTATCCAGTGTAACCTGGAACCACAAGACGGTTGGCCTACGCCAACCTACCAACCAATAAACATGTTTTGGCCAACCAGAAAAATGGATATGCATACAATTATTTTCCTAGGTTTGAAACTTGCAACTTTGAAAAATGAAATTCAAATAAAACTTTAGCCTCAGGATTAGGTTACTTTATGAGTTGTTTTTACTCTATAGTTGACAGAGCGAATATACACCAACCTGGAGCAAAGCTCCCACAATTTTCGGCAAATGGATCAACGTAGCCATGACTTCTAAGTGCTAACTGAACTCCCTCAAAAAGAAATGATGCTAACTGTTCTCCCTCAAAAAGAAAAGGTGCTACCTGATCTAGCCCTTTGCCTGATCCACAGACTGCAAATTGAACTGATGGCTACAACACATTTCAGAAGATCACTACAAGCACCCCAAAACAGCATGTCAACTATTTGACTCACCATTTGTCTTGCCTCTGTCCCGTTTAGTGTCCTGCTGTGTCGCATCTGGCGGAGAATTCGTAGCATCCTTGATGTCCTTAATCTTGACTGACGCTAGCTGACTATCACTTGCATCACTTTTTGGAGCAGAGGCCTTATCAGGAGATGATGTCTGACCTTTCTTCAGAGATTCCTCTTTGGTAAGGGCAGAACTTCTCATTTTGTCATCTGCAATTTCCTTAACGACACCCTCCAGTGTATCTAACCTGACTAAAACTGTTGCCAGCTTCGAATCGGCATCCACCTTAACAGAGTCGACCTCAAGTTGTTTCTGTTTCTCTACTTCCTCGATTTTTTTCCTTTTTGCTTCTGCTTCCTGAGACAAGCAACATAAAACTCCATCAGTAAATGTTTACTGAATACACCTTTCATATCATTACAAGAATCTACCAAGTGCCAGAATAACATGTGGAATGTCTGGAGTTATGCAAATTTTAGTTTTACTTGAACACTGCGATGGTTCCACATAAAAGTATAGTTTCCTCTTGAAATATATGGAATTTGGAGCAAACGTGCAACCTTCAGATTAACAACTGTTTGTACAACTCGATATTTAAAGTATACTTTCAGAACAGAAACTATGACATTCTTGAGAAAGCTGTAACTGCTTAAGGTGTATATATCTGCTGTATCACACATAATAATTCCTGTGAACAAACCAATTGATGGCGATGGTCTGTTTGCCTTGAGATCGTACCAACAGCCAGATTTGCTACCAACAATTGGGATTGAAAAGGGACTGCTCACCAATCACTTAATACTTATTTGTGGAAACACCGGAATCTACGAAATTGCGGATATGTAAACATGTAGCATAACGTTTTTAGCCCATAGGGAACACACATGTTTCTAGTAAGTAACTGATAGCATTAGTAGTAGAGTGCAATTCTTTTTAGTGTAAAGTAACAAGGTTGGTGTGTTCATGCTTCACAATGTAGAAAGAGAAGTCCAAAATAGAGTATCTACCTGCAGGATCTCCTAATAAAATGTAACTGAAAAATGTGCTACAAGCCTACATGTGCCTTGGAACATAAATAACATATCTGGCAGAGAGTGATCACTATAACATTGATGGTTTGAAAAGTCCACAACACATGAACTAACAATTTGAACTGACCTAACAGGTTCCATTGTACGTGCATTTAGGCTAAAACTTCATCACAGGGCTTTAACCAATTTGACAGCATGGCCACACTTAACCCAAGGGCGCAGTTAGAAGGCTGAATGATCATGACTAAGAGTTCTTGGCTTAAGAGAATTGTCATACAAGTCAAACTCTTTCACCTAGTAGCTCCAAAGGATCAGTTATGTAGCATTGATATATGAAAGCAAGTTCAGCATAATGTTCGCTAAATAATAAGATATCAATAGGTCATAATTATGCCCACTGTTGCACAAGATTTGAAATTTTCAGAGATCCTTTATTCCAAAGGAAACTGCACAGTATGAGGGAATCACAGCATATTACCGCTTCCATCCTTTTGATCTCACTTCGTGCATACTGGGCTACCAAATAGACAGCTGCACACCAAAACAAAAGCCGCAATGTAAACATAGAAAACTGAAAAGAACTCGCAATTTCACATTTGACATCCCAAAGATTACTACATATCAGAAATGAATGGAGTTTATCATGAAACAAACCTAATGAGGGCATGCAAACAAAGAAGAGCTGTACAAGGTGGAAGTCAAGCCTGAAATACAAAAGAATGACAGAAATCAGAAAAGGCCGCCATTTGGAATATGTTTGTAATGGAAATCATCTCCAAAACCAGCATTCCAAGAAAATGTTGCAGATTGAATGCTCCTCAATTTTGTAAAGGCATTCTAGATTTCACACACGTTTTTTATTAGCACCATGGGAAGAACTGGAGATAAAAACTATGACCTCCCGTACTAATATTGACCTTCGTCTCGCCTTCTCATTCTGAGGAAATATGCAACTTGTATTTCCATGACCTTATTATTAGAACACATGAGGAACTTTCCTAGCTTCATTTCAGGCATGATTTGTTGAACGTTAACAGAATAAGAGTCACATAGCTAGGGTTTAAATCAACTGCTAGCTCAGTATGAGAAAAGAAAATCCTCTCAGGGCTTGAATTCAGCGAAGTAGGATTTTTCACAAAAGAAAATCTTGTTTGTGGGTAATTCCTGGCAGAAGGGTATGATTTACAGGCAAACAAAATAGAACAAAATGCATCATGATTTTTCCATGATCTGTGCTCCACGAACAAGGTTCCATGCCGAACTCAAATGACAGATTCCTAAATCAGACATCAGATATCAACCCTGAAACGATACGAGCTATTCGCCTCAGCTTTCCCCGAACAATGCGTGTCCCGGCTCATTCATCTCCCCTAGAAATTAGTTATGTGCTATGGTTACTGCCGAATAATGCTCACCCGAACTCCTTGCGCTTGGGGGGCACCGTGAAGAGGATGTTGGCGGCGGTCTTCCAATCAGCGCCGCTGGACCAGTCGAACTCCTGCACCTTCTTGTACGCCTCCATGCGCGCCGCATACGCCTCCCGCGCCTTCGCCGCGGCCAGCGTCGCGGCGTCCGTGGGGGCGGCGGGTGGAGCTCCCTCGCCGGAAGAGGACGAGGAGAGGCGGCGGCAGAGGTGGGCGAGGGGGAGGCTGAGGCGAGGTCTCAGCGCCGGAAGCATCGCGTGGTGGGTGCAGGGCACGTCGGAGACGGCGGCGGCCTTCAGGGGCTTTGGGGCATGGCCGCCGGCCGTGGTGCTCGCGTGCCACAGCCAGCCGCCGCCAGCTTCGGGGGGGATCGGGACGTGTGGGCTTGTGGCCTGTGGGGGTGTGGTGGACTTTGGTGTTCGACGAGTATCCGTGGTGGGCTGGGCCAGTGAAATGCAGAACATGGCCTCCCCATGGAAAGTGGTAGGCGAAAGTGCTGTTCTCATTCCGAGCTCACGTCAGTAAAATAAAAAAGAATTGAAAAGAAATTTACAAATATGAGTTTTTGTGCCAAATACTGACATTTTTTTTAATTGTGTGAAAAGCTTCATCACTAGATGAGATTCGTGGAAGATGTGGCAATTTTTTTTATGATTTCAAAAATAATATTTTGAAGCATTGTTTTTCTTTTGCCATGTTTTCCACGAATGTCATCTAGTGGTGGTCAATCAAAACATTTGTCAATGTTTGGCACAATATGTTTTTCAGACTTTTCAGATATTTTTTTTTACTATTCATCTGAGCTCACATGAGCTCGGGATCAGAACAACCGTGTCTGTAGGAAGGCCTCCTCTAATCAGTAACTTTGGTTTTATACTGAAAAGGCGACCTCTCTATACATGGCTCTGAATTTTTTTCGTTTAAAAATTAAGAAGAATCCAGAGCCATATATATATATATATATATATGGCTCTGGATTATACAATCTTTGTAACTTAATGTAAGACATTTTTTTACCGAGGGAGTATAATCTATACGAATAAAAATCATGAAAGCCATAAGATTATATTTGATTAGTGGTATGGTTTTGGATTCGGTTTAAAGATTTATAGAGATCATAATGGCACGTCTAACATTGTATTTTATTCAAGTCAACCCGCCGGTGCACCACATTTAAGTTTCTATCTAATTTGTACCGTCATCATTTTCTGCAAATGGTCTCTTGTACTTTCTCAAACTTTTTTTGATACTTTCTCAAACTCAACATGTAGTCCACTGTATGTCTGTACCCATGTTTCATTATGAAACTAGAACTTAGCTGAGGTGGACTGTGAGTTGACTTTAAATACGTGGTCAATATTGCAAATATGAAAAATAGGCCGCATATTTAGATCTCGGTGTAGTAGGCTTCGTCGATTTAGGTATGTCAGGTCTCAAGTTCACATTTGCATTTGTGCTTCTGCATTTTTGCGACTGAAATTTGCGTTTATGCTTAGTGTGCATGTATCGAGCAATAACTTGTAGAGGTTTGCAAGACTATCAATTTTTAGGATAATTTTAAATTGTGAATTATTCAACTAGTGCATGTCTCCCTGTCTGCTTATCCACCTTACCTTGGCATGTCGGCAGTGCTCGTTTCTTTGTAAAATTGCTTGAATGTTTAGAACTCAAACTCCATTAAATTGCATTAGTGTTTATATGATTTGTGCATTGATATTGTTCTTTATGCAGAATTACATTGACTGTCTTAGTAAAAAAAATACAACATTCTAAATTGTGCATCAATTTTGAGGATACTCCATGGTACAACGTGCGGTGATCCCCAAATCGTCTATGGGTCACTTAGTAATGACTGGGAAGCCATGCACGATGGGAGGTTTTTATTCTTCGATAGCACCAGATGCGTTTTCACCCTCCAAATTGTTCTAGGTGTCCTAGTGGCGAAGCTCCCAATCAAGATCCTGTTCATCGCTGGTCTCACGGGTTGCTTTGCTCCAGTAGCATGCCCCTATGGCGGAGCTCGCGGCCTTGCCGATGACATATGTTGACTATGTTTGCTCCAGTATTGCGCCGTGGGGATCCGGCACACACACGGGTGTTTGGATCAACTTGTAAGGGTGTTTGGATCAACTTGTAAGGTCTTGGTATTGGATACCCTCCGACGCCCTCCACCTACTTCTAATTGTGGCAGTGGTGCGATACCCTCCGACGGCCCCTGCACCTACTCCTAAGTCTAACTATGGTGGTGATGATTTTTTGTACTCCCTTCAGTCCTTTTTACTCTGCATATAAGATTTGTCTGAAGTCAACTTTATAAAGTTGACCAACTTTATAAAGAAAAATATCAACATTCACAATAGGATATCAATACCATTAGATGCATCATGAATTTAATTTTATAACTTTAGTACTGTAGATATTGAAACCTTTTTATATAAATATGACCAGATTTTATGAAATTTGACTTCAGTCAAATCTTATATGTTGAGTAAAAGGACTAGAGTGAGTATTGGTCAGCTAAGCTGTGCCATGTCACAGGTACCCATTTTATTTTTTAGGAGAAGACCATCACGGCTAGCTTTATTAATATTAAATCATACTTATATCGTCCGCTAATTTTTTTTACAATAAAGTTCGGGGCGTGTCGAACCATTCGGAAGCTTGGTTCACTCGTCCCCACTCTGCTAGCACACACGCTACTGCATTAGATTTCTATTACAAAATTCAATACTAGCCTTCCCGAAACTCAAAACCCCACTATGACACACATCGTAGCTAGCTTTAATCCTTGGAACAAAGCCGCAGCTTCAGCTGACACAACGTCGGGCACATGCTCAAGGGCCGCGACGAATTGCCCCGTGAAGTCCTGTACTACTATTCGGCAAGACCCTGTGAAATCATGGTCAGAAAATGAGGCATCGACGTTGATTATAGTTTGGCCAGCTAAACCAATCCTCCATTGGTTAAGCCTTGGCGTTTTGGATGGTTTCCCGGCAACTCACACATATCTAGTTTCCATTGGTTAAGCCAGTTTGTATTGCCGAATATACCAGCATGTAGGAGCCACTATCTCCATATATGTTCTTTGGCAAGATGGGTCACGGAGCAAAAACTCAATGATCGCCGCACCTGCTCTTTCAACCAGAGCTGCTCTAACGATTGCGTTTCTCAAGCATAGAGATTCCCAAACTACTTTTGCCCTCTCACGCTTAAACCAGGCATGGCTGATGTCTTACGTACTCTGTTTGCATATGGGACATTGACAACTGTTTTCGATATGACGGTTGGCCAAAACACACAAGCAAGGGATCGTGTTATGCAAGCATCGCCATATAAAGATCTTCACCTTACCTGGTGCTTCCTCCATTTCACAATATAGTGTGATACGAATTCAGTGTTATAATTTTTGCTTCCGCCGCAGTCGATCTCGTGGGTTAAATTTATTATCAAATTTAGATCTCGGGAAGCGCGAACGCATTACATTGTGGAATGAAGGGAGTAACTTCATTCTCCACAATTTCTTTCATATTGGGTGCCGTGTTGATCCTCCTTGGCAGAAAGTGTTAGAGCATCTACAACCACGGACACCAAATCCAGCACCTCAAACGTCTGCGGACATGGCCGGGCGTGTTCACGGGCACTGACCGGTCAAACCTCATACTTTGTGTTATGCATCTGACTACCTCATATTTTATCCCCTAAATCCATACAAACCATGCAAATAAAATTCTACGCAAGCTTCAAAGTATCGGATATCGGGTTCGTATCGGTTTGGCTTCGACATATCTGATGCCGGATATCGGGTGATATATCGGAGAAAACATGTCTATTTTTTTCCATTATTCTTGTTCAAAACATTTATTTTTGTAAAACAAAATGTATGATGGCAATGCTTTAACATGACACTTTTACCTTCCTATTTTATTAACTTGTTGACTAAGAAAATATTAAGGAAAGATTCACAAAATCCTTACTCTATGATTAAAAACAATACGATATATATGCATTTGTACGAAACATTGTGCATGATTTTGATAATATATAATGAAGTTGTAAATGCATAATCTTATTTCACTGCATTCTTATAAATAATTGTTGTCATCTACGTATCATTTTATATCTTTGGACATATCGGGCTAGATATCGGCCATATCGATCGATATTTTGGTCAATATCGGGTGATATGTTTGAAAATGATATTTACAAAATGAGATGTCATATTTATATCGGTGGAGCCTCAAAGTGATATATCGGTCGTAGCGGCCTAGATTTAAAAGCTTGATTCTACGTACAAGATAAATCACGCTAACCTAAACTACGCTTCGTTGTCGGCAATGCCCACGACTTCCATGCCAGACGCTGGTTAGATGGGCGCTTAGGAGGGCGCCGGCCCCTCCTCCTCATCCATATACGTGAGAATCTTGTCGAGCCTCGGGGCGATCCGGGCTTCGCGCCTTGCCTGGATTTGCTCAAGGAGTTGCAGCCGGCACTCTGATGATGTTAGATGTCGGTAGCTCCTTACCCGCCGGCGTGGTGGCACGGCTACTAGTGGTGGTGGACGGCGAGCGGACGGTAAGTGAAAAGTGGAGGCGGCGGACGGTAGGGTAGGAAATGTGGACAGGTAGGGTTTCAGTGCAGGCAGTCGGCTTAAATAACCGAGCTAGGGCACTAGGCGTCCTACCGGAGTGGCGCCATCGGTCCAACGGAGGAGACAAGCTTCGGACCGCCGAGTTTCGGAGTGTTTCCGTGTGGGACTAGAGTGTTAGTTCGATGTGGCAGACGCGCCCGGGCCTCCCCATGTGCGCCCTAGGTTTGGGCCGGATATGAAGGGTGATGGTCAGCTTGGGCGCTTGAGGCCGCTTTGAGGCGCCCGTTTGGGTCGGGTTTTTGACCGGTCACTGACCAGGACGTTCGCCCGGCCGTTTGAGGATTTTTTGGGGTGCTTGACTATAAATGCTCTTAGGTTTCTCATTAGCATAAGTGCCCTCCCATGTTTTATAGTAGACCGATGAGGGAGTCCCGGACTAGGGGGTGTCCAGATAGCCGAACTATCATCTTCGGCCGGACTCCTGGACTATGAAGATACAAGATTGAAGACTTCGTCCCGTGTCTGGATGGGACTTTCGTTGGCGTGGAAGGAAAGCTTGGCGATACGGATATGTAGATCTCCTACCATTGTAACCGACTCTGTGTAACTCTAACCCTCTTCGGTGCCTATATAAACCGGAGGGTTTTAGTCCGTAGGACAGAAGAA